AAACAAAACGCTCATATTTTACATGTCTAAGCTCTTTGACTCTGTGAAGTTAGAATTGTATCAGCCGTTCGTAGAGTGACGCTCGGAGTATGTGAACCAAGTTGGAAGCTCGCATATTTAGTCAACACTAATTCCGTATTCCAGAGCTTGACTTTGTAAACTGAAAGCACGTTTTAAATACTTCTATTAATCTAACGAATCCCCAATATATCCGGCCGTAACAACCGCATTAGGTACAGGGACCTATCCACTTTAGTTAGTGACTGACCTAACTCTATATTACTTATAGTATAAAGTAGACAAGATAGAAAGAACACCTACATGATCCCAGTAAAAGGGAAACGTTTTAGTTGTAAATTGACCTTCCGAACACATCAAAGTACTTGACCGAATTACTAAAAGCTTCTTTATAAACAGGAATCGAAGTACTATATTGCTATGACAGGAACGTGTTTACCTAACAAGATGACCACGAATATATATTTACTATATGCTACATTACGTGCGTAGTTACAATGTATTTTATGGTTACAACACGATAAAACCCGTCTTGGCAACAGAAAATCGTAGAAAAAAATATATAAATGCTCAGCATGGCGATCATATTCGTAGCAATAAGTAACCATAAAGCCGGTATTTCATATAGGCGAAGTGCCGCGGTGTTACGACTTGCCGGGAACGTGAGCTGAAATGCTTTCCAAGACACCGTTTATTGGTACACCTGCTTAAAGCTAACATTTCAACCAAGTGTTTTAAAAAGGTTGTCAAGTGTCAAGTGACTCGTATTTAAAAGTAGGTACACTAAAGTATGTGCTACTAAGACATTATATAGCTACATTGATATATGTGTGCAAGTTAACTTTTTGACAACCTATCGAATGAAAAACTTTTATACATATAACATTTCGTGAGCTCTTCATAGGTATTTTTTGTTTCACATCGGTCAAACATGTGTCACACAGACTGACTGCCGATAGCATTCCGAGTTTTATTGTTCACCCAGGAACAGAAAATTCTAATAAAATCGGACAGGTCGCAACGTAAGTGTTTATTTCACTCCAAATACACAAGATGTTTGTACGTTTCGTTCTACCTAAAACAGCCAAAAGTGTTCGCAATGTTTAAAATTCTAATTTAACAGTACTTTGTATTCTGGGAACTATTTTATAAAGTTCAACACAAAGAGAATACTTTCCCAGCTAAATATAACTTATACACCTTTAAATGAAATTCAAAATACATTTTCTTAAAAAAGTACGGGAAATTTATAGCACGCAGAATGTACCTTGTTTACGAGGATATGATATATAGCATTTAAGTAGAATAATGTATGACATTCGTGCATTACATATATCTTACGGTTTTTCATTTGCACCGCGAGTCGTCGCAGTGGTATAGAATTTATTACGACTGTATTTAAAATTGCAACACAGTATCCCATAATAGCAATAATAAATCATAGCCAATAAGCAACAAGGACTCTTTTCGTCCGACCTATCTCTTGTGGGACAAAAAACAAAGTATATATTTTATTTCGTCGTAAAAGCTATTGCGAAACAACAATAATTATCCATTTTTCTGAAGGCAGTTGGTTGGCCAAAATTCCCCTCCATGAGAGTGTTTTAGTAGGGGAGATGTCTAAACAAAGTATTGTTATTGTATCAAAAATATTCTATTTCGTTATGGCCTTACTCTAGTTTTATTATTACGGAGTAGAGCGCAGCATTCGCTGTTGTGCGGAAATAGTTTTAACTTAGTCCATATCAGTTACATAGTACATTACAATTGCACGTGAGCGGAAAATGGTAGCGGGGAACTGAGTAAATTTAAGATATCCTTGTTGCTTCCTATATTTTAACACCTGCTGGTGTGGTGTGGAAACTGCGGATTTCAACATAATTAACTGAAATCTCCAAGAGATTGCGAGGTGTTAAAATTTTACATTCCGTATAAATTAATGAACAATTCCGTAGACACAAACATTCCTTTTTAAATTTAATTTCAAGTGGTTTCGCAGACTCTGAATGGCCACACTGATTCAGCAGCCGGACTGCTCTTATTTCATTCACAGGTTTTAATAATGAATCTACGAGATGTCCTTTGCAAGGGCTCTGTCGCTGGCGTAGTGTGCCTATTTATGAATTGAAAACTCAGACACAGGGCTTTATATTAATCTTATCTTATTCAATTACCACCATTTAGGACCGTTTGGTTTACGTAAAGATTTAATGTTTCTATTATATTAAAATGACTGTAATTTATTGTGATATCTGATGTTAAAAGTTTTGGAGTTAAGACGTAAAACAGTGTAAAACAATAATATCGTCATTATTAGTATTCACAACGCTACCGACGCAGCCGTGCGAAGCTGCTTCATTAATTAGCGAAGCTTCACCACTTCAGCTCCGCGTCTACGTTGAAGAATTTAAACATTCCCCTAATTTCACTTCTGTAAATCTCACAAACCAACTCGCGAACAAGTTGAACGTAAATTTATAAATACATCAAAGAATGTGCGAACATTTGCCAAAACGGACAGTACCCGTCAGACAATATGAATAATTTAAAATAATAAAGAAGGAAATGCTACTTGCGGCTGCTCGTAAAACTTTATTAAAAATATATTTTTATCACATACTAAAATGTAGGTGTAGGTAGCCTCGCTGCTATTTACCTAACACCTGAAAATGAAACGAAATTCATATTTTGGCGGTACGCACTGCGCACGCGGTAATTCCGGGAGGATTATATTTGTATATGGTATAATTTTGAATAATAAATACATATGTTCACAAGAGAAAGCAACCCTTATACCTTATACAGCTTTTACTCAAGTTATTTAGGAGTAATTACAGAATTAAATTAACATTGTCTCCTTATTAAAAAATTTCTCTCAGTGCCGTGGTATTTAAATCTTGTATTTCTACCACATTATTAGACGTTGCCTCATTTTAAAGTCTTTCTCCTTTAATGTATCAAACATTAAAAATTTAAATTGATCACAAGCTTAATCACGCGGCTAAGTCCCTGCTTGCTACTCGCCCATAACAAGAGAGACGGTTACCTTTCAGCTTCTCGGTTGCTGACGCGACTAGAAAGCTTACTTTAACATATTCATATCTTACTTTGTTCATTCTCGTTACACCACACATCCATCTCAACATTCTCATCTCCGCTAAACAGTCATATTTTATCCAGCTAACCAATGATTTATTCATACGCAAATAAAACTGTAACTACCACAAATTCCTATCCTCTCAACAATACTGCAGAATTCCTTCAAAATTTCAAGTTGAATGTAAAACTATTAAATCTAAGTTTGAGCTTTAAATTATGGATGAACGCAATAAACTCGAAGAATTTTCAGCGCGGTCGTTTTGACAAACTCAATTTTGAAACAATAAAAGTACTTCCGCCAAGTTTATTTTCGCGACGAACACAACACGGAGAAGTTCGTCCCAAATGGTACAACAATAACTTTCGCCTTTCAACTTGACGAAACGTTGCATTAGTTGAAAAGTCGTATTTACTGGCGGCAACTTGTGTGTAGCATCTTACACGGCTTTCTTCACAAGCCATTACGTAGCCGGCCGCTCATCGGAGCGCACTGCTGCCCCTCACACCCTCACTAATTAACTGAGCCTTGAAAACTTTAAACATTAGCTAATTTACCCGACGGGACCGCGGCTCTGCTTATTGCCTTCATACGTAAAACCTTTACCCACATTAAATTCGAATACCGCATTTCAGTACCACATATCGGAAAATTACAACCCGGCTTGCCCATTATTCGCATATTGGAAACTTACTGTCTATTATTTCCAAACCAAATACGTCACACAGAGACCATAATAGGACTTGTTATTGTATAAATATTTATCTATACATTGTATGAATGGCATCGTTACGCTACAAAAGAGCAGTGTTTTTACTGGAGGTAGTATTATCAATCATAGCATTTCTCTTGACATAAGTGGACCCTCCTCATGCGAGCTCAAAGTTCCATTACTCATGGCGCCACGCCCAATACTGATACGCTATCCTCCAGCCGTCTGACAATAACCCAGTGAAACCGTTACTTAGTGCGAGCTCAGACAAAGAAACATCGAGAGCGCCCTATGTGATAGTTTGCCAAATATCTGAATTCAATCACTCAGCTGAATCTAGTTACGACCTAGTACTTACTGAAGTACCAACATCGTACTTTTATTTCTTTAAATAAAACTCTTTAATGATTGCCATTCGAAAAGTAAGCTTCGAAATTCTTAATTTATCACCTGTCTGCTTAGTTTTGAATAGGCATTTAAAACGGCAATTAAAACAACTAATGATGCCCACAGTGCAAACTTTAACGCTTCAAATTTTCAACTCGTTCGTTTCTAAGTAAGTAGGTAAGTACTTTACGACTGCCTTTTTGTAGATGTTTTGCTTAGTTAAGTTCGGAACTCACCTATCTGTATAAACCGATGCGATCAGTTCACACAACTTCCTTGAAACAAGTGCTCGATAACTGCGGAAAAGTTAAACCTTTTAACTTTTAAAGGATTTGCACTAAATACGAAACAACTATTAAACTTGGTTCAAGATATTACTTATTCCACTCAAAGACATAATACCCGTGCGCCAGATATTGATTCTGTGAGCGTTGGCTGCGAGAGGTGACGACATAACGATTAACAAGGTGTTGTTATCGTTGCTGTTAATGTTTCTTTAATTATTATGGTGTTTTTAATTAGTCTGCAGAAGTGCCCCTCGGTAGGCAGTACCGTCCGCTCAGACCGCTCGGCCTGGCGAGCGATGCTCTGTTTTAATTAAACTTACGCCCGGCCGACGATAGCTTTCTGTATCTCCCTTTTATAGCCTACAAATTCAACTCGAATATTTCAGCACAATCAAAAAATCATTAGAATGTAATCAGTCGAGTAACGAACGTAACCACACGCGTAAAGTTAAGAGCAAGCGAGCTTAATATACACAAACGAGATGTGGTGAAGTGATTTTTATGAGGGCCGTGGCGAGTGATTTCTGGAACTTATGGCCCCTATAAACCCGCTCGTGTCGACTTGACGATTTAGCAAAAATTTCGCTTCTCGTCGCGCGTCGCCGCATCGTCTGTGGAAATCTTTCAAATTACCCGAATTCGTCTCGTGAATACCTGTAAACGACAAGGAAAATGTAGTAGAAACGTTGTGACATTACAAATATAACGAGAATGCAATAACTGGAAGTTTTATAGAATTTCCCAAGCACAGTTAGAATTAATAATAACGACGACAATAAAATTTTATTGAGGGTCAATTTAGTCTTCGATCGTTTGCAATTCGTCTAAATAAAAGTCACAAGGAACGAACAAAAAGTATTATTGGACGTTTTATTTTAGAATTGTCTGTGCTTTCATTTCAGTTCGGATTTAACGATGTACGTAATGCAATGTCATATGACTAATCTAATCTGCTAATTTAGTTTAGAATTGTATGGTCGATTGAATCAAAATCTAAAATAATTATGAAACAAAATAAAATCTTTTAGTTTCTCAGCCGCAAAATACGAGATGAATCTTTTGGGTCAATTACATCTAGTTGGAGCAAATTTGGTGCTAATTAAGAACAAGTGAAATGCAATCACAGCGTAGCACTCGGCGCAGATTGTTTAGTAAAGGGCAATATTTAATAGAAGCTGACAGTAATCCTCGGCAGGCAGTGCACTCGGGCGCGTCCTCATCACGAATTCCCGAGGGCGCAACGTTAAATGTAGGCCACCAAGTTCCCGCCGCCCGCCAAGCGGAATATTGCTTTGTCACTTGGCGACATCGCACAGCTTCTCTAAGCCCAAGTAATTGGAAATAGTTGAAATAGACGACTTATAGCAACAAAGCTCCGCCCAGCACCGGCACTGCCTCGAGCGTCTCAGTCCCGGGCTCGTATTGTCGCCACTAACTAAACTCCGCGATGGCAATTTATGTCTCCATGATGTTTCGCCGAAACTAACGAGCATCGTATTCCACAAAAAACTTTCAAAGCAAAAAGCACAGACTTTATTTAATTAAGACTCGGATTCTTAACTGCGAATATAACAGTAAACAAACAATCAGGGAGTCTAATTAAAACAGTCGCATAAATAAACGATAACACTCACCTAGGGAACTAGGGTCGAATGAGAAAACCGCAAAACACGGTCACGAAGAACACGAAAGACCGCTCGGGTCAAAAAAAATAAAATTTGATGGTGGTTGGTTTGTTCGTTTAAAAAATAAAATTTTATATCGATCGTAACATAGCTTTCCTGAATAAGGTAAAGGTTTAAAACGTGTCCCATCGAAATTGGTAAAGCATAAAATATGTTCACAGAAAATCCTAAGAAAATCATGCTGGGAAACATTCAATATTTTACAAAATGCTGATAGAAATAGTTTACGTGACGTCACAAATTCAAAATCGTCCCATATTTACCAGAGAGGATACGCAGAGGTGCACAATACCTCTCATAGATGTGGTCTCGCAATAGCTGTGGTCGGAGGTAGTATTCGCTATTATGTTATTAATCCCATGTAATGGAGGAAGAGCCTATTACCATATACTGGAAGCACGAACAATTACATTTCGTACCATTAAGTACTGAGAAATACTAAATCGAAAGTCCAATAACATACTTTGGTCAAATTAACTTTCTTTTGCGATAATTGGGATGATGACGGGGTATGAAAATTAAAAATCTAATTAGTCCGTAAGTTAGGTAATGAAAAAATATTAGACACGTATTTTTTTATTTTGTCGTACACAATACTTAGATAAATCTAATCAAAGTTTAGGAGTGGGGGCTAAAACGTCATTTCTACGTATAAAATGTACATAGAAGTGACGTCACGCGACATTTCAAATCAATATATCGTCGAAAGTATTCGTTTCTGTCAGAAAATAAAAATACGTGTCTAATGATTAAAAAAAATCTACTAGGCGGACATTAAAAATAAAAATTAGGCATCTACCCTATTAATTAGATACTACACTGCATTCATGCACTATGTACTTATATACATACATAACCACACGCTTGGCTGTCATGGGGGTAGGCAGAGACTATATATATAGAGAAGTATATAAGTTTACAAATTACATCAGCTTTATCTATTAGTATATGTTAATAACATTATCCTATAATTACAATGTATTGCATAATAATGAGATTAGGATCGCAGCATCAAGTGTCTGGTGTTGATTGATACCAAGCTTAAGCCACAACCAATCAATTACTCGCAAACTAAAACCGATGTAATTACGTTTCGTGTACTTACGTTATATTTTAGTGCGGCACCAGACTCGGCTAATTGATTTATTGAGAACGGCCTGATATTTTCTCGGATAAGTTTCTTTCTGTATTACTGTAGTTATAATACTTATTGTTAGATTCGTATGTGGACCGTTAACTCGTTTTTTTTAATGGGATGGGTTTATATACGAGCGGACTGATCACATGATTGTTTTGGTTCGATTTTATTATGAAAATGTTAGCTTTTATTTAGTCAAATAACTCTAATTTCACTTAATCTCTTAGTCACTTAAGGGGCCAGTAGAATACCAGCGCAAGGCCCTGGCTTGCACATGCTGAACTGGTCCCATTTCACGGCAGACTTTGAACATGAACATGTATCCATCAGTTCCTGCTAACACAATGACACATTGTATGTACATGTCATTTGTTTTTTAGGGTGAAATAAAGATTTTTATTTCTTTCTTTATTTCTCTTTCTTTCTAATTTAATTTTTACTCTAAATCCCTAAGTTTTTTATGCATTTTACCTTTATATTCCCCATCGCTTACACAAGAATAAGTAAGATAAGTTAGTGATAAGCATATAATTATATTTTTATAATAACTATCGTGAGACATACTAAATTAAGTAAAAACGCGGGTTACTCACGTGAAGATACTGAGAAAAGCTCTACTAGTTTCGAACTACAGAGGAGTACTTCCTCATGAGCAGCGTGCGTGGTCGCGGCGACGTCGCGCAGCTCACTACTCTCACAGCTCAAACTAGTAGAGCTTTTCTCAGTATATTCACGTGAGTAACCCGCGTTTTTACTTAATTTATATAATTATAATGAAATGTAGTTAGTTAAGTTAGATTGGTGTATGATGAGACGGACATACCTTTGTAAGGGAAAATCATCTAAATAAATATTAAAAAAACCCTCTATATCATTATATGTTTTACCGCTTCGGTCTCCGTAAGTATTGCAAAGGCAAAAAATACTATTAACAAAATATTTTAAAGAAAACTGAAATCTAATTTAAATAAGCAATAAAATATAATGTTTGGCAAAATTTTTATATTCGATTTTCATTAAACTGTCTCTCAATATCTTTAATAATAGTGATTATGACCCGCTTACGCACTTAAATAAAGCATTATTAAAATATACTAAGAATTCTTTAGTTTTTTAGACTAGAGAGACTAAAGAGACAATTTCAATAAAAAGAAAGAAAATATTTGAACGATTATGATCAAACTGTATCGTATTTTAAATGAATATCTTTGCGTACCGCAGTCCGAGGTACCGCAGTCCAGGATAGCATGAGAGAGTAGATAGCAGATAATAGCCTATTAGAATATTCTAGATGATTACTTCAGATCGTCGTCCAAGAGAGCTCTGGAATCAATTTGGTCGTGACGGTAATATGTTAAATGCTCCACTCTTGTGAGATATGCCTGAATATTACGTACTCGGAATATTACTCGAGATTCAAGCAAGTGGAATCGTTACCGCATTCAGGGTTACAATTAAGACCCATCATAAGTAATGTTAATTAAAATGCCTACATTATATCTTATTAATACTAGAGGTAGTGAGCTGTACGGATTACCTCAGCCGCTTTAGTCAATCATTTGCTTTTATTTAAAAACTATAACTTGGGTGTACTTTCACAAACCTTATTTTCATATAACAGATACCTAAAACTAAATTCTGAAGATGATACAAACTAAAACTAAAACCCTGAAAATATAATGGGTAAGTACAATAGCAAACCTCTTAAAAATTAATTCAAAAGCTTTATATAGCAATTCGCGTTAAAACGAGCCCGGTAACTATATTTTGGTTAAAAATTCAAATGTTCAGTGAATATTAGTGAAAACAGGACCACAAACGTGTACTTTTCGTGACAAAAGTGACACTAATTTAATACGACATCGTTATTCCGAACGGTGAACACGTTTTAGCTAAATGCAGCCTGAAAGGCCCGCTGAAATTGCTATTCTGACTACCCGCAGTAGAGGATAATATGGAAATACACGTTTACAGCAGTATCGACGTTTTCGACTACGACAAAAGCCCATTATGCGTGACAAAATTGATCATGACTTTTGACCAAGCACGCCCCCGCTCGACAAAATTAGAACCGTCTCTATTTGGATTTGCATACTCATTTCATTTTTGTCCATATATATTGTTTTTGCAATTTTATACAATACAATATTTTATCACATTTTTGTGTAAATTGTTTTTGTATAGGTACCTATTCGTTTTTAGTATACCGTTCGACTCATGTGAATCGCGGGAAAATCGTACGAGTTTCGTATCTCTAGAGTCGAATTTAGAATGCAGATCTATTGGATACCTATAGCAAGTGATATTGTCTGTCAATTGCTACTCTCACTCATTTCCATACCCAGCATTGCAGATATAGCCCCAAACGGATAGAATACCTACATTTGAAAAGTTAAAAGTTAACAAAAACCACGTGCATGGAAAAATAAATATGTTTTATAATAGTGTGTTAAAAAACAATAAAGTGAAAACTATACTATAAAACTGCAAGCTTTGAATAAATAAATATACAGATGAAAACGCATAAACTTTGCCGAGTGCAACTTTGATTTAACACATATATGTATTTATTGAGCGCAACAGAGAATATAAAAAAACAGTATAACAACGACCCCAACACTCATTTCGCTTTTAAAATCGTAAAAGACCTACAGAAAAAAATATTTTTTAGTCGGCGTTGTATAAAGCTATATACTAAAATTCAAACGATGGTTTCAAACATTCAAAAGTTCCCCGCATCCCCATCAATCGTCATCCGGTATCAAAGTGATTTAGAGATATGAAAAAGCGACATTTTTTCAACATAAATATAAAACTGATATGAATTGACACAAACGAACGCAATAGTTAAGAGTCAATGCACTCGAGTTGGAGTTTTTCATGATTAATTGGTTGTAATATGTCGAGTAAGATGAGAGCAGCCGCGGGCCACGTGGTCCCAGTGATCAGTATGCGCATCACGCGTGCAAATACCGCGCCACGTCTCCTCACCACCAGCTGCAATATGCTGAAATTGGTACGTGGCCCGGAGACACAATATTCGAGCTCATTCCTAAATATCGACCTCACGTTTTATCATTAATGATAATACAATCCATCTCACATTTCAGCAGTTACACCACGCACTGTTTCATTGAACATAAATACCGCGAATTAGTATTCGAAGCGTGTGAACTAACACAACACTGCGATTGAGAGCCGGTTACTTTAACATTTATTGCATACTATGAATTCCATTACGGATTATAGCGGTAATGCTAGAACTAAAGCTATCTATTGTCTTCGTAAGACGGAGATAGGGATGAGTAGCTTAAACGGATTATGGTCCCGGGCGACGTCTGATTATTCTACTGCTTGATTTACGGTGACGCGATACGGAAACACGACGCCGACCTCTTTACCTTGATAGACGTAGTTCACTCAAAATGGACAATTTATAGTGTGTCGCGCGTCTGTACAATCAATATCCAACAAATCCCGGCGACGGGGACGAGGAAACATTGTGAAATATGAGAGCCACGTGTCAGCATGTACTCCGAGCAGGGTCGCTAGTCCGCCGGCACCACGAACACAACACTACGCAAGGACGCACATCAGGCAGGAGGCGAACTTTCCACATTACGTATATTTACAAGAGAGAAAAAGACATTTAAATGCGGGTCGTGGCTGTGATTAGCCCAAGGACCGGATCGCCTGCCACCCTACGACCCTACATCTGCGCACGTGAATTGAACGATTCCTTCAGCTGCCGACGTTTTCACAGTATGTGCCTTTTTTCTAAGTCGTTTAGGCTAATAAAATAACTTCCGAGGCTTTTACCTCGATATAGGCCTGGGATCCATTTCAAATCTACATAATGTTTTATGGCACATGGTCGGTTGACAGGTATATTCATGATACGTTTCGAGCCATAAACGCTTACGCATTTATCGCATATGCATTGTTAAGTCAACGCCATTAATAAAGTTTTAAAGCCTATATTTTTATGACGTCGACTCGCTGCGTCCACGTATAAAATTTTTATACTGTAATATCCTGTCAACCTTTCGCCTCAGGTTCAAAGCAGGTACAGATATTTGTGTTCCATTTGTGAGTCACGTCAGTATAAATGTTAAGCATTCCGAACAAAGACATATTCCCTATGTGAAGCACACGTGTATTGACCTGTCTCGAGAGATGTGGTTGGTTACAGTCGGATCGAACATCAATACATGGGGAATGTACATAAATTCCGATAGATAATTGTGTACACTGAGTAGGTTCATTGAAATAACAGCCATTTTCCTTCGTTTTCCAGAACTTATTCATAGAACTGTCATTAGTTTACCCACCCAGATAAATAAACTGATTTCGTTCCATAAATAATCACCCTTAAGACCATTGACCGATCCTTCAGATCAACAAATTATTTTCCTTTTTGGGAACCATGAAAAATATTCTTTTTCTTTGCGCTTAAAATAAATCGAGATAGCTTCCTCCGTCTCATTATAATCCTTAAACTTTTTCCCCTCGGTTTGTCAGAATAAATAAAAATCGTTTCGTTTAAATCTTGAGAAAAACCAGAGGGTTTATTTAGGCGTGTTTTTCAAATCCTGAGATATTTAGCTAGTTGTTTATCTAGTGGTGTTTGTAGGTTAAATCTTGTAGGTATAACATGACTAGATCCCTATCTAATGACACCTAAATTACTTAATTTAATGTCTTAATCGATGGTGAGTATAGTTCGACGAGTGAACCAAAGGCTATTATGCCGATACGTTAATTTCTCCGAAAATTTATAGCAATTCATTTTTACGGAAAAAAAATTCCGATTGCATTTAAATGTAGCACTTCCAGTATATCTATGGTCACAGTCCGCCGAGTGATCATCTCCCAAGCCCCGGCTGCGATTGAAAACATCGTGCCAATTGTAAATCATGGTTTTAACTGAGATCTTTTGACATAAATGGGCCCATTTTAATTTAATAAAATGAAAGACGTTCATTTGTGCGCGCTTAGCATTCAATCGGTTAAATAAGTACGTTCTTAAATTGGATACTCAGAAAAATTATCCATTTCTAAAGATTCTAGGTAATGGGATACATTAGCGTAGTCTCAAGTCTTAGTTAATATTACTTACATAAAACAGATACTTATCACTCTTCGCCGTCATTCCGAAACCTTATTCGGGCTTCTCATCGTAGGCACCCTAATTGTACCCAATTCCGCTCTTATTAACTTCAATTCAATATAGGGCTGCGATATTACGTACGCTCGAAGTTAATATAATAAGTCGTTATTTAATAATGACAAAACATACCTGAGTTGTGTTGGTTGTCGGAGTTGGGCCGTGCCGAGGGTGCTCCGTCGCGGGCCTCCACCTCCAGCGCGTACGCCCCTTGCTTCTCTCTGTCGAACACCACCTTCGTGAAGATTTCACCAGTCTGCATGCTGATCTCGAAGAAATCCTTGCCTTCGTTCCGCGGAGAATCCACTATGTAGTAGTACACCTAAAAAGAACGGGTGATTTATTCATAAAGTCCGATACATGTTCTGCATATCTTAATATTTCCGGGGTCTTTGTTTGGTTTCGGAAACAAAACTGGGATCCTTTCATAAAATATATTCGCACAAGCAAATTCGAGAATCCTTTCTTTCAACATACGTCCGTAATAAAACGTGGCGATGTCATGTCACCGAGCTCATATAGTAATATTACACTCACGGGGTTGAGATGTAAATTTCTGAAATTACACTTAAACTCTGTAATGTGGCGTTTCAATATCCGCAAATGTAATAAACTGCCCTCAAGGGTTTCAACAAATTCCCTGTCATGTACTTACATTACGGGAAGATTTAGGAAAAAAATATGTACGTATACAGAGGAAAAATTTGAATCGGAGTGACGCCATAGAGCGTCTTCGTATAAAAGTGTCAGTCGTCAACATATAGATTTCTTTGGTAGCGAAGCCTGTCAACGTTATACCTGACACGCGTCCAATTAGATTTTCCGAATTTTTATTCACACAAAAAAAGGAAGAATGATGTCAAACGAAAAAATAAATGCGGAAACGGGTGTTGATATCAGTTGATTCGAAACATAGAAATCGTTGAAAATATTCGACTCTTTTGTTTAGTGGGTTCAGTTCACGCTTGTTTTGTTTTTAAAGTTATTTGCACTGCGACTGCGGATAAATAGATTGAAAATTAATAGAATTTGAACCCAAATGTTGCACCTTTGAACAAAGTAAGATATTTAACAACTTGCTTCTCGAATCGAATCTTAGTTACAACACCGCTTTCAAAGCAGACAGTAATAAACTTAACTAAACGGTTCTAAAGACGTCTTCCCAAGCTGGAACTCCTTTACTAAACGCATCAGTTTAAATAATAGATAGGTTTCAGTTCAGCGCAAGGAAACTAGCGAACAAGCTATTATGTGTGTGCACTAGCTACCTAGACTGCTAGGTGCAATGTACCTAGATGTTTAACGCACACTTTAGGCACCCTAATGACAGCTGTAACGTACGGAACTCGGAACTATAACGAAACAAGTTATTTCACTTTGAATGTCGCATTTCGGGCGAATGGCGTTCGTAATAAGCGAATATTATTAGCAACTATATAGTTATATAGGTACCTATGCATAAAACTTTGCTGTTTCCAGTACAAGACTAAAGTGGTTTCGGAAAATTAACTTTATTGCTTGATACAGAAATCCTAGTTTACGCTAAAGCTGGAAATTTTTGTGACTCGCAACTGAATTATGAATCCAACTGTAAATATGTAGTTATAAAAATGATTCTTGAGTACCTACTTGTAGATAACTTTACACAGTTGTTTTACAGCAAAATATTGCGTACTGAGTATGTGCTATTTGATCCTACCAGCTATCGTTATGAAAGATGATGAAAGATGAAAAACAGAAAGAATACGATCAAAATTTTCATCTTCTTAAGCACAATAAAGCTATTAAATCTATTTGGACGCGCAAATCCATGGAATTAGCAAAACCCTTTTTGCGTTTTACAAAAAATATTCCTTTAAATGGAACATTACGAAAGAGCTAGATACTGTGTATGTATAATAAGCAAAAAATCGTACCACTACTCATACTAAAGAAGGAAAACTTTATAGTAAGTTGACACGCAAATATTTAATATTCAAAAGCTCTTAAAGGAACCTCTAAATTCTAGAAGTTAGTGTTGAGTACGCTATCTTGTTCACTTTACGTTAGAGGTTAAGTAAATCTTGCTATAGCCGAACCCAGACAGATGTTCCAGGGTAACTGAAAGATGAAACGTCTAGCGAACGCTACCTGAAACTTGGAAATAACAGCTCCGACCAAATTACAATCCAATAACAGAATACCGTGAAACTTTCACATCTTATGTGGATTTTAATAACTCAGAATAGAATCAGTTAACTAGTTAGTTTTATTTCATCGTCACCACACCATGTCTTCTACAGAACATAGGTCCCAACCAGATTAGCCGGTCAGCAGCGACATGCATTGGACATTATTTTTATTAACTGAGACAAAAAACAATATACCATAACTGTATGATTTTCATCTTTCAACGTTTAAACTCGCAATCGGTATCTAAGTAATCTAAGAAAAGGATAGTTCTAAAAACCTATTAGAATGAGTTGTCGATAATTTCAATCTTAAGACAGATTTTAGTGGTGGTTTGACTTCAATCATTTCTAAACTCAGCAGTCTAAGTTTTAAGTAATATTTAAACATTATACAATTAGCATCTATTGTTACATGGGACACCAGACAACAAGAATGTCAATTACAAATTGAATTTTATAATGAAATCAATCTTCAAAATGATTATTAATTGCTTTTGTGACCTTTAAACTTAAGCCAATTGATGTGGAGCAATCAAATTTGATACAAAGACCTTAAGTTACTCATAACATAGTATTGTCACTGCTTTAGTCAGAAGCTGTAGGCAGATGTATTGACTATAGCTTAGTTATTAATAGATACATAAATCGAGAGCAATATTTATTCATCGACAAATCCGGGATATTTGCTAACTTGTGGAACATTCAGTAGAACGAGTTATAAACTAAACAAACTAATTAATTGATATTTTCGTGACCACGATTAAAAGATCTAGTAAACCTGGACGGGGAGAATGTGAGGGTTACTGATGTCTTGTTAAATTAACTTTAGATACAAAAATAAATGAAAGACTTTTAGACGATTATTGCCTTAGACTGGGCGTGAGCTAACCAGCTAGTACTTTACAAAGTGTCCAATGAAAATTGGGTGGAACACCAACGCTGGACTACAAAAAAAGATTGTAGTAAACGTTTCATGTCCATTACTGCCCGCTATCTGAAATGGCCAGTCGCCTTCTTTCTGACGACCATTTGAAGATCTCTTTAGACATTTGGCTTTATAAAAAATAATTTACATAAGGTTCATTTTTCGGAAATTGCTTTTAGGTAAATTCTTCCTTCAACCAACATGAACGAGAAATATTCAAAATTTTTTCGTATGTATCATGGTTATACTCAAAAACGTACGTAATTTTAATTGGAAAATTTTAACATTGCAATGTGAAATCCAGTCTTATCAAGCTACTATTTATTCGATATGAAAAAGCCAATAACACTGTCCGATTCACAAATAGAACAAGAAAGAACTGACTCATCAATCGTGTTTCCGACTAATAAACTAACGAGGCAGTCTATGAACAATCCACTGAGTAATTTATTTACTAAGACATAGTAAAAACACCTTAATTTATGGCTCAGCAAATAGGTTAACCGTAAACCTCCATTAAGAAAGTAATTACTATTTACAATAGAGAGAAAATTATGGCAATAACAAACAAATTTCATTTTCTTGTCATTATCTTCACTTCCTCTGAATTAATTGGAAATTCGTGAATATTTACTGAGGTATTTTAAATGGTATTTTAATTATGAACATTGGAATTCAATGTCAGATACAGTTATAAAATAAATTATATGAGACTAGCACTCTGCTCGCTGTTCCGTCTGTGTCACCGAAAAACTTGTTCTCTGTAGCTAGAATTGTACCTACGCTAAATATTGTCTATCCAATTTATTCAGCAATTTAAAAAAATGGAAACAAACTTTAATATTTATAATATAAACATTATACCTAATATGAGGTTTTCAGCTTCGTCCTTAGGTCGTGTAAAGTAGTAATATTAGTTTTAATGGTACCTAATTTTCAGTAAAACACATAATCTAAAATTATTCTAGGTTTTACAAGCATGCTCTGTATGATAATGAGAATGACAGTTGTGACATAACTAACAAAGAATGTAAGTACCTACTCGGTGTAACACAACTCTGCTTTTATCCTTGGAGAATAAAAAGATATGTAATCTTATCTTATATACCATAGTGTAAGATAAGTTTACTTATATATACACTAAAGTATATAAGATAAGTAATATAAGTTTGAAGAGGTTTTCGTTTGTTTGTTTGTTTGAACGCGCTAATCTCAGGCACTACTGGCCCGATTTGAAAAATTCTTTTTGTATTGTATAGTCCATTTATCGAGGAAGGCTATATACTATAAAACATCACATTACTATCAATAGGAGCCACGGAGAGCGGGCGAAACTGTGTGGAAGTAGGTAGGATAGAAATAAACATAAGCACTACATTATAGATACTACCTACATTATATACAAAAACATTGAAAATACCTACTTTCAGCCCTCAATTGTAGAAATGAAATCGAACAATCCTAGGTATACCTACGTAAAACTATCTCTTTTTCTCATCTGAAACCTAGTAGGTACTTTACGCGACAAATAGGTCTTCCATCAGACTTACGTACTTAAACAAACTGCGTAACAATTTTCTTGGTTGACGCTGTTGTTAGAATATTATAACCAAGATTTATTACAGCTATACGCACTCTAGCAAACGGAATAGTCTTCGCAAGTGACAATCACTAACAGTTACTAGAGTGTAAGGGAAAAAACGTAGAAATGAGAGCCTTTTCTTCGATGTTTTATTTCTTTGTACTATGGTTTCATGACACAATGAATAAATGTTGGTAAAGTCATTACAAAGATGGCTGCTAAGATATCTCAGATAGCAAGGAACAATACAAGTAATATATTATATAAACTTATATAAACATTGCAGCGAAGTTCAAAAGTCCACATACTAAACGAAGGCTATGTATTTAATTATTCACGATTGCGCACCAATCCAAAGCGCAATCACAACGGTTGAAAATTGCATTTTTATTCCCTCGCGCTACCGAAAATTATAGGCACAGTAAATTGTAACAGTTGCATATTTGTACAAATATATATACGCGCCGAACGGTCGCGTCGTGTCTCTGCATGTTATCGTGGATTAATTAAAATTGTAGGTTTAAATATACAGAAATGGTTCACGCAACGAATATACGCCGGTGGAGCACGTACAACGATGAATTAATATTATAAAAGTGAGCACCACTCGTAGCCATTTTGAAGGACTGGACGTTTATAGCAAGGGGTGGCAGCCGCAGCAACCAACAATAAGACGTTTTATTATCGCGTAATTATATGTATGTAGTACGAGGATTTAAAGGATTTGTGTAGGAGACGAAACACAAAAGGCTATAAAATATAAAACGTATGAAAGTAAGTATCACGGGGCTTGAATGCTGATATCAAACCCGCTTTAGTTTACATAGTACATTTGACATTAAAGTTACAAGTACCCAAACCCTGCCTTATCGGTGTTGTTAGGACGAAAGGTCAACACGGATTTTATGATACATAACAAGTCACGCATCAGTAAGTATGTATAAGTACATAAATAGTCCTTGCGTGTATTCTGTAGCGAGCCGCTTCCATTAAACGTATAGAAAATGTACGTTTCGTGTTCGTATTAGTAAGGCGTTGAATATTGAGAGCTCTTTTACCACTTACTTTATAATATATGGACATGAGATCCAGGTAAATATTTTTGTACTGAAAGCCTTCTAGAGTACCTAACAACATACAGCGCGAAATGTTTAGAGATACAGGATTTAGTAATTTACTCAGTTCAACATTATTACAACAATCCCAATCAAAACTTATTATTGAAACATCAGAATTATAAATTAATTTTACAGTTGTTTGTTCTAATTAAAGTTTCAATTTGTTGTGGTATTTTAAACAATTTGATTGTTGAACAAAATATGATTTTCATCCGTTTTCATGATCTTGTGAAAATAATATGTTGAGCCTCAGCTTTTATTCCTTTTGAAATAACTATAATAAAAGTTTTTTTTTTAATTCTGTTGGTTAATGCCATAATGCTGACTGCTCAGAGGGCTAGTAAGAGTTTGTTTTTTGACGCTCTGATCTCCCCAGTTATAACCCCATCGAAGCAATAGGCAGAGGTGCACATTCCAGTGTTAAATACCACTGTACAGTGTAACGTAACACCCACTTTTCACTATTTATGTTATAAGTCTCATGTAATAGTGAGCCTATTGCCATACACCGGGCACAATTGCAGACCCTGTGTTACCACTGGGAGTTAAAAAAAGAACACAGTATTACTATGTTCGATCCAGGAATCTAATCCGAGACCCGGCAGTCGCACTTGCGTCAGTCGTCAGTCAAAGATTTATCATTTACTCTGGATACCTACTTACTCAATAGAGGCCTCTATCGTTATTTCTAAACATTACATTCTACTAGCAACTTTAAAAGGTAGACCACCCCAATACAGTAAAGTATTATTATTATCGTGTTTCTCGCCTGGAATTAATTCCAGAACGCATCTGCCAAAGTTAAACTACCCATACATAATGTATAATATCTGCCTTTTGGTTACTGCTTGCCGAATATAGGAGGCTAAAGGAGCTATTCCTAAACCGATTTAACAAGCAAATTGATTACGCTCCAGTCTACTAATACCACAGTACATAGTGGTAGTATGTATGCATGGGCGTACATTAACAGATTGAGTTACGTATAACTTAAGTATTGTAAGTTTATGTCAATGGTTTTTCTGCATTCAATTTAAAGATGTTGATAAAATATTAGGTTTTTTCTAATCTTATATGGCCACTAGCATTTTGCGCGCTGTGTTTAGTTTGCGTTCTTTTGATTAGGTTAACCCTAGTTTTGATAGCAAGCGCGACTTACAATTTTTTATGGGGAAAATCATCGAATGACTTCTACCGCCTTTGTGTCATACTCTTGGTGACTAAAACCACCCCGTTCCTACTACTGCACTTCGAGCCGACTCGCCATTTGGACTCAATATTTCTACAAATCTCGTAATATAAGGAAATTCAAACATGCAAATCTAAGAGAGGAAATTGCGCACGTTTGTCATAACAACTTATTTCAAAAACTAATCACAAATGAGTATAAATTGCATGTGTAAATAAGTAGAGGTGTAAGTACCTACCGGCTCTTGACTTAAATATTATTAAATATACCCTCGTGGACCGCCCGTTAAGGTTAAGCTTTGCTTAACTTGGAACTGTGTTTAAATATGTAGCCAGTCTGAACTTATTCTAGAGAGCAGTTCCCTAAAGAGCACGTGGAGTCTGACTACGCGTAAAACATTCACCAGAGTCTGAACTGCCCTCCATGAACACTAGTGGAACAGAAGAGCTCTCCTTAAAAATTGGCATTGACGTACAATTCGAATAAGTGTTAGATCAGACCAGTAAATAGTTGGACTTGACATAATTCGTACAATGTGCCACGAAAATACATAAACTTATGACAAATTAAACGTATGTTAATGTCAATTTCAGACATTAAATTTACTGTTGTACGTATTAGTCTAGCGTTTTTGCTATAAAGATGGCGGAGCTAGTTTCAGAATGTTACAAAAAATTAACCAAAATCATTAGAATATACTATTACATTGTGAGTTCATATATAAACCACAAACAAGCAAACAGGTACAGAAAAACCTCTAATTAGAACGTTAATAAAACAACACTTTTAAAGCTCGCCACACATCAGAGAAAAACGTTTATCGGGAAATTGTTTTTGAAATCCCCAATCCAAAAACAACGAGACCTCTCCTTTGTGTACAAGACTTTAACTGTGAGGTTAATGGGGCTATAAAAAAGGAGTTTAATGAATAATAAACAAACAACAAAATGGTTTTGGTTAATTTTTACCTTGGGAAAAGAGATAACCACGATATTCCGTTTTCCACCTTTATTTGAAATAACTTTACCGTTAGAAACTTGGGCTGTTAATAGAGGTTCGCAGTTATAATTTTGAAGGTCAATGTACCCATGTACCTATACGAACTTTCTGGTAGACATGGAACAAAGTTTGAGAGTGTAGAGAACCTTATGAGTTTCTATTTAGTTCGCGTACTCGACGGTTACGATTCAGGGTAATAAAATTTCTCATAACTAACTTATTGCTAAACTGTTCAAAAGATTAGAAAATAACAACAATATCGTTTATTCCACGTACATATCATAAATACAAATATTTATCGTGGAATTCGATAAATAGGAACGTGACAATACACAGCAAACCTTACAAATGTCAACAGTAGAGGACCTCACGAACACGTGGCGTTCCTTCTCAAAAGAGAGAAATGTATGAAAATATTTAATATTTACCTTCCTACTATAAGAATTTTATTGTTAAAAATACAAAAAGCTTTATATTCTGCTGATTCTAATTCTGCGCTAGAAGAAATGGAGGTTAAACACGAGGAAGCGAAATCTAAAATTTGCTAAAGACACTATCTAAACAACTCATTAGTGATGAACGCTTAATTAACCGGAATAAAATAAAAGAGGGTTTAGTCATAAAAAACCTATTTAAGCTATAGATTCTAGAAGAGCTGAGTTCGAAATTCGAAATAAATTCACATTGGATTCATTCGATTGTCTATAAAATAGGATTTAACTTTTTATTCATGTCTGATGCCGATGGCTGCCGGGGCCGGATTGTAGCTTGATTGCAGGAATGTTACTTACTATTGAACTGTCAATTTCTGTTGCTGATCATAAAACATGTAATATAACACAATGGCTTTTATTAGGTATCTGTTAGGGTAGGAATAAGTTCATCTATTATTTGAATGTATTATCATTTTTGGCCCATTATATTGATCCCCATGAGATAAGTGATCAGATTATTGTCAACCACTGGGAATAACAGAGATACTCCGATGATGGAAAATAAATAATACTAAGCACATACAAAAACGTATATCGTTAAATGAATGTAAAGATTGAACACGTTTAAAAACACATTCTAACAAACTTCCCTTTTACGTCGTTTAAATATTGACGACATTTTTGAACTTTGACATGACAGATACGAAAAACCGTGTACGCTTCGAGCGGTCGCCATTTTCAATACACCCTCAGAGTGTTGTCCATAGAAAAAATTGCAATTAAATCTACGAGTTTAATTTCTGTCTTGGTGACTAAGCAAAAAATATTTAACCTGATATTTGAATTCATAATATGAAACGCCACAGCAAAAGCAACCATAAATCTCATGAATAAATTTTACTACTCGATAAAAATTACCTAACCTAACCTAACCCAGAAGTAGAGGTATACTAAGAGTACATTTATAGTACCTATTTGTAATCTGACAAAACTGAGCTTAACATTTTTGTGGTTTCGACGAAAATTCAAGGATCCTTACCTGGTTATTAGGGAATGTTCCGTCCTTGTCGATAGCGTTGACCTGCGTCACCTTGGTCCCGATGGGTTCCCCTTCAAGCACCGTCTCTTGTTCCCGCTCAGTGAACAGGGGGATCTCGTCGTTCACGTCTTCAAGCATGATGTAGACCGTCGCTTCGGAAGCCAGTTGCTGGGCGCCATTGTTCTAAGGAAATTAAAGGAAAGGAACGTTTTAAAGGTTTGTCAATATGTTTAACTAACTGGAAGTGTGTCACGTTATATATTTCAGAGGGGCGGGTAGTTTAGCTAAATCTCTTAACTTTTTCATGTAAGTACCTAATGGAAACTTTGAAGTTGATTATTTTGCGAATTCGCCAATACTATCAAGTAAGTATGTTACACATTAAAAATGGTTCGGTCTCAAATTTCTCGAAACAATGTCTGAATATAAAATCAGACTATGACACATGATGTACGTGTTATAAATAAATTGAACAGTGAATCCATCACTAATAAAGTCTATTTACCTATATCGAACAGTTCATCAATTAGGTAACGCACACATGAACCAGTTGAACTGGTCCTAAAATTAATTGGATTTAATATGTTCCAAACACGATACTACTTCCGGCCACAGAGTTATATTGTGCCAGTGCACACGAACAATACATAAACAATCCGGAATCCATGTAAACAAAACAAATATTTGAATAACAATTCCGAAATATTGTTCACAATGCTACCGAACGGTAAATTAAATGTGACAAAGACTATAAAACAATTTCATGACACTGTTAACGTAGGCAGTTTCATTATTCGGACTCGGAGTGGGTTTTTTAATACCTTAACTTAATATTGTATTACAGCTTGACTCACCTCCACTCGGATCGTAAGATTGTACTCCTTGATACTCTCGTAGTCGAGTGGGTGGTTAACTTTTATATCGGCCCATGTAAATCCATTGTCTGCCCTTTGTTGTAAATAGAATGTGTGGAATTTGTTGGTCTGGGCCGTGGAGCCGGGCATGAGCCGATAAAACACGGTCGGGTTGTTCTCAATACCCGAACTGAAAATACAAAACACGCTATAACAACAATCTCCTACACCATTAAAAGAAAAATCACGGAACAAAAACAGCTACTTAATGCACATGACGACATTTACGGCAAAATATAAGTATTTAATCAATTTTGCAAAAAAACTAAATATTTAATGACTTTAGGGGTATCAATCAAAACAAAGGACTATTAAAGGTAAGTAAGAATTGATTAACTAGGGAAAACAGAAATATAAATTACCAGCTAGTAACATAATCACGGTAAATCTTACAGTTTGGTAAATTTGAATGTTCTTGAGTAAACCTGAGTAATTCTCAAAGGATTAATAAATAACCGTCGACTGGATATATGAACTTTGTAAACTCTTTACTCGATCAGTTGGTAAATAGTTGAATAGCGAGGTTTGCCTTCAAATTGTTTGGGCAGTGTATGCGTGTACCCAGTTAAAAGATTGCTGGAATATTTTTCATAGCGAGATAGTATTTTACCGCGTTGCGTATTCCGTAGTTGCGTCGTTCATGTATTTTTTATTTTAGAAATTCCTACGAGATTAAATTTTTGAAGTGACGAGGGGAATATGTGAAAAAAAATTGCTACGTCGACCACATACTTTATACTAAAGGAAAATCTATTAAAATAAGTATTTTACTACAACATAATGACTTTGTAATATGTTCGTATGAAACCAACTATTGAATTTACTTTAATTATTTAATTATTTATTAAAAACTCATGTTCTATTCTGTATCTAAAATATGTTATGAATCCACAGATTTGAGTAACAAATATCAGATATCCTATATTTTATTATATCATGATATCCTGTATTACATACCTAATTAGTTTTACCTACATGTCAACTAAGTTGGCTTATCCTAACAACAACTGTACAGCCATATTGTAACCAGTTCCAATCAATTAACAAAAGGTATTTAATTGCCACGCTAATTGATGAAAAGCGTGATTAAAATCAGTAGTCAAATATTCGTACTGGGATATTTGTAAATAAAAGAGCAATACATATTGTTTCCGAATGTACGTTATTTGTATTAAAACAAAATTGAACTATTTTAACGAAGCGAGCTAAACTGAATACCGCGCCCATATCTAATTTATTAAAACGAGGCGCGAATTGCTCTTTGTTCTATAAAATCTATTGACGTTTAATATAAAATGGATTGTAAACTTTATTAGTGCATTCAGTATTACCAAACTGTAATAAAACTACACGCGTGAGGTTTAATAATATCCTAAAACAATATATTAATAAGTTATTATTATAGATAACTACTTCGATTATAAAAACAATACAACTTGGGAAGGAATTTTTTTTTAATCTGTATTAAGTTATTAAAAAAATTCACGCGTGTGCATAAAATACTCAAGCTGTCACTATTTTGACACTGTCAAGGTAAATGACAGTTCCAAATGTTTTTAAAATTAGAATGGTACCCATTCATGCCTCAATGTGAGGTACAGTTTGATATTTTGATATTTGCGCGCTCAATTCAAGGCGCTGACTCGATAACTCGAAATTGCCTAGATTTGAGGCGAATTTAAATATTAGTAAGGTGAGTTAGTAATGGTTTCGTCTTCGTGTATTAATTATATTGTGAGTTTTGAAATGTGTGTTGTTTAGGACGAACAGATAGACCATAGAGATGTGAACCAAACTTGCCATCGACCAGCACTCAGTGATTGATGCACTATTTTTGACTAATATTGCATAACAGTTACATTAAAATCAAGAGCCCGTGGCACATAGTGATGCACAAACATTTATTTAGTTAAAAGGTTCGACCCAATATACTTACTGTTTTACATCATTGACTTGCAAATTTTTGTTACCTACTAAGCATAATATTTTCATAATTATCAAATCGTCAGTAATTATTTTAATAATTACTATACGATATTAATGAAAGGATCAATCAAAAAAGTTAATTTGAAATGAGGTCCTTTAAACGCAATCAAAACATTTTTTCAAGTTTTGAACTTTTGAATAAAACTTAATTGGATATTTATGAACTTTGGCAATTAACAATTTGATAACGAATTCGCTATGTTTACTTTTCATTTCAGAACAATTTACAAAAGTTTATAAATATTTTAATGAATCTAAATTGACTTAACTTTTTATATGTATTTTTCTTTAGACTAAATTGAAAATGAGGGTTCTACAAAATAGTTGGTACTCAAATGAAACCCTAATTGAACAACATCAAAAAACAAAATCGTCAAGCACTATTCCAATAAATTGAAATGGACTTTTCGGACAAAGAAAAAAATAAACGGATGAACATTTACCTACACAAAACTACTAACTAATTTTAAGGTATTATTTAACATGCTAATTTGACCCGTACAATAAATTTCGAATACATTTTAGTTAAAACTCTGATATAGGTAACTCATAATGCACTGATGCCTCAGCCTACATGCAATACGATACACAGACTTCAATATTAGATACCCATTCGATACCTCTCACAGTTGTCCAACAACATCTATTTGACAAAACCATATCTACGAAGTTTAAGAAGCAGAAATAAGATTATTGTCTTACATATATTATCAAATAGATGTTCTTGGAACAAATATAACACAGTGTTCCCCGTTCCACATAAGCAGTGAGCCCTTCTAAATGCACGCTGGTGAATCACGACAGTCCGCGTGTGCCATAACGATGCATTTGATGTTTCACGGACAATGACAGTAACATCGTATTCTGATCACCAAGTGAGAGGCAAACGATACTGGAGACGCACGCGACGCACCGCCATACTGTTCAAGGAAAACCCTCTTTACTTGCCACATCAGAAAAATCTGGGCGTGGATAGCAACACAGCACCTCAAACCAAGTTTAACTTACGAATATGGCAAGATAGAGGACTCACCGTAGAATAAGACTAGTTCGGAGATACATTCTCTTAACTTTCAAAGATGTTTTTATATTAGTGTTTGAAACGAAAAGAGACGGTGCCAACAAACATCGTCCTTTTGGATGTAACCGTCGCACTCTACAGACCACGTACGTACTCTGCCTGTTATTACGACTGCAGAGAGCTGAATATCCTGCCAGCTCCAAGCAATTGCAGGAACAAGCGAATACATGGTGACGAGCGAGCATGACGGAGTATGACGGGCGCGCGACGTCGCACTGGGCGTGCAGGTGACGGGGCTGCGTGCGGTGCCCGTGCCGAACAGTTACCCACGCACCTTGCTTTCACGGACACCACTTTGGCACCCACGGGTAAATTCTCTCGAATGTAGATCGGGCCATACACGGTGTGGTCCCACACGGGGGGATTGTTCGCGCGATCCACTACGTCTATCTGGACCTCCACGGTTCTGGACAAGGGCGGGAAACCCTTGTCTTGAGCCATAGCCTCCAACTTGTACGTTTCTCGCTATCGGGGAAAGAGTCGATGGAAACAGACAAAACCACGTCGTTAGTAGTGTTAAGGAGTGGAGGTGCGGCGGGCCCGGAGGCCCGCTGCGCCTTATACCAACCTGGCTTTCACACTGGTCACTACGGTACCCACTGTGACATTCTCTTTGATGTGAACGGGGCCATACGTGGTCATGTCCCAGATGGGGGGCTTATTGTTCCTGTCTACCACGTCTAATTCAACGTCCACGTCTGCGGAGGAGGGCGGGTCGCCTCTGTCGGAGGCGCGCACGCGCAGTCGGTACCTGTCCCGCTACAGATACACGGGTCAGAGGTCAGCGGGGAGAAACAAAACAGAACACAACTAAAATATAAACACAAGTACTCATCGCTAAGAAACAATTAAAATAATTAAACAAAATAAACTGAAGAACGATTCACTTCCACATTATAGGCTGTTTGCAAATGTTTTATTTCACAGTATAATGTGCTAATAAAGTAAAAGCTTGCACTCATCTTCTCACATCCAGTAAGCCAAATAAAAATATAGAAGAATAAGGATCTAAGGAGAATACAATAGCTGTAATAAGATTACGTTCGCTCACGTCGTCTGCTCCCACTCACAGCACAGGCTCTGTCGTTCTTACAGTAGAACATTCCGTACTGTTGTAGCCAATATTAGATGGTGCAAGAAATAAATTGGAAATAAAATATTTACCATATTTTACAAGTTTCGTCTGTACAATAAGGAGAAAGACAAACTGTACATTATGGGTATTAGGTACTTTTTACAGTAATCAAACTAAACTAATCTTAAAAATTAAAATAAATAAACTCAAAGAAAAGCAGGCAATGCATGCAGCTCTGCATACAAGACATGGCGGAAAGGTCAGGTTGTCATATGAATGGTTTGGTGACCTCTTAGTTACTACAACGAAACGACACTCATTGAAATGAATATATTACAAACGATGGACGTTACGTTAAACTGTACAAAATTTTGATTCGCGAACGTTGCCCCTTTCACAGAAGGAATATGTCACAACTGGACAGATGGCCAAACTGCCTTGTGGGCAATCTGACCATCTCAAATACTAATAACTATATTATACAAATTATATTAATAGCACTGCTGCCCTGGAAAAAATCACAATTATCATGGTATTACTATTGCACACGATGTCATATTGCATGAGTAGTCGTCTACAACACAGCATGGACGCGGCCAGAGTCGAACCGGCCGCGCGGCGGGAACTATTGCTCCGCAAAATAAAATCAGAGATTAGTAACAAAACATGTACATAATACATATAATACTGATAGGTATGTTAAAAGCGTAAGCTTCCCAAATCAATTAATCGATTACTTACAATAAAATAAACTTTGAAACTAGTTTGTGCGAAATATACAGAAGTGCTGTTACAGAAACTGTACATGTTTTAGAACTAAACATAGGTTCAACGGTGAAATATTTACAGCAGTATAATTTCTGGTACAAGGTTAGTATTATACACAAGTCGTATTCATCTGTAAGATAGTTAATGCAAGACGGTGCTGCGGAAATAAATCTTAACGAAGATTCAGTGCGGAGCCGACGCTGGCGGCAACTCAAACTAATAGTGCTGCAAGAAGAACAAGCCCCCGACGGCCGCAGGGCCCGCAGCCCCACGTTGCCGTTCAATGGACAACTACTCCTCACAGCCAGGATTTACCCCTCTCCACAGCAATTTACAGCAGCGGTTAATTTAGAACTATTTACAGTTAAATCAACTTAAAGTATGTGCCAATTGAATCCTAAGGCCTGTAGGTAGCACTCATCCACCAAACTTTGTAGTAAAGTTGATCCCTTTCATTCATCACGCTTGTTAATACTCTCACCATGTGATCAGTGTGAATTTATAAACGTTAAGCATACTTACGTCGAGAGGCTTCTTTAAAACGATCCAACCCGATTCGGGCTGGATCTCAAAATACTCAATATCAGCAGGGTTATAGGGCGCGCTCAAAGTATAAACAATGGCGCCGTTATTGTCGGCGTCCTCGTCAGATGCGGACACTCGCAATATGTTTGTGCCAATACTGGCGTCTTGTTTTACGTTCTCCACATATTTCTGCAAGACACATTATAATCACAGTCAACAATCACGATGGATCGCTGAAATTCATGCAAACAAAAATCTAGGTGTGATTTCATGCAATTATGTGCTTAATGCTACTGTTTATGTACACTATTGCGCTTACTTGTCGGTCAAACAGTGGAGGGTTGTCGTTAACGTCGGTGATCTCAACAGTGAATGAGCAAACACCTTCTAAGGAAGGCTCTCCTTGATCTGTTGCCTTTACCGTCACTGATACGAATTTACCGTCGTCGCCTTCTCGATCGAACACTTTATTAGTGGACACTTCACCAGTTTCTTCGTCGACAGTGAATTTGGTGCCTTTCTGATTTGGTTGTTGTACTATAGAATATTTTACTTGACCGTTTACGCCTTTATCTTCGTCTGTGGCGTGGACTTTTATAACAGGACTACCGTTTGGAGCTCCCTCTTCCACTTTAGGGAAGTAGGTTGGGCAGTCTTTGAATATTGGCTTGTTATCGTTTACATCTGTTATGAATACGACTACGACAGCTGTGGAGGTGTGGATTGTAGCATCACCGTTGACGCAGCACGCGCCGTCGTCCATAGCGGTTACATTAAGTTCGTATTTATCTCTATCAAGAGATATGGCCTTATTGTGTAGTCGGATGACACCAGTGATTTCTTCGATTACGAACTGGCCGGAGCTGGTGCCGCCGCCGACGAAGCCAAAGCGTACGTTGTCACCATCTTTATCAGAAGCTACGACAGTCGTGACCAGCGTGTTGGGACCAGCATTTTCATCGACATTGGGAGTGTATACTTGTTGAGAGAATTTAGGTTCCTCGTCGTTCTTGTTCTTGGTATAAACTCGGACAGTTGCTGTTCCGGTTTTGGCTGGTTCTCCCTTGTCTTTGGCTGTGACCACAAACTCATAGTAAGCGTTATTGTTGTCTGCGTCCAGTTGCTTGTTGTTTGTGATGATGCCGTTCGAATCCACACTGAAGTGATCGTCTGGAATAGGGAAATTTTTATTTTGTTAGTCAATAATACCTATTTGCAAAACTATATTGATGTTACATTCACATTGTGTTAACCTTTTCACTCCTAAAATGAACATCAGCATCTAGCTATTTCAATATTTTAGCTATAATAAGATTAACACTATGGAAGCTGCTGGGTTTGAACCCTAGCCAGGTAAAGTTGGGTTTGAAAGGTCTCGGTAGTTTGCTAACAGGAATGTAAAATATCTCTTAGGATTACATGTCACAGAATATTTTATGACTATAATGCATAAAATATGAAAGTAGGTAGTAGATATCTACAACTAGAGAAAAAATATTAGACTTATTTAATATTAGACTTTATTGAATAATGTGAAATCTGTCCGTGAAAACCTATAATTGGCTCTCTGGTGTTATTATGTTATCTGTTTGTTTCCTATGTGTAGCTGTTGGTTTTCCAATCCATAAATAAATAAATAAATTAACGATACTTTACATTCCGAAAACTCAAAAAGGTATTTAATTTATTCGTGCATAGCTGCGCCTTTCATGAAACGAGTTACAATAGAATTTCACGAAAGCTGTAGGTATAAATCATTAGTTTCACCTTCGCGCGTAGCGTACAACATACAGTGCCATCTAGGAACTTTTCTGTAACTACAATTTCTACAGCAACGTACTAGATGGCGCTAGCGGTAACAGCCGTAGCGCGTAGTTGAATGAGTTATTTACCTGAAACTAAATACTCGATTTCGGCATTTTTCCCGGAGTCAGCGTCCATTGCTTTGACTTTAAGAATGCTGGTTCCTAATGGAATATCTTCGTCGACGTTGTGCGCCTGGTAGTCGGGTAACTCGAACTTTGGCGCGTTATCGTTTACGTCTGTCACGCGAATCGTTAGCTGTGGAAAGTTAAAAATAAAATGATCACACTGCGTTTCCGCAATCATTTGTAAAAATATATTAGACAAACATTTTTGGAATGTCTATTTATGTTTCCAAACATATTGTGCATTGAAAATCATAATGGTAATGTCGTATTGGGATTTTTTAAACCAGATAGGTAATAAGGTTTTTCTATCCAGGGTCACCACAACCATTCCGCGAACCCGGTCGTCATTTAATGAAAGATGGTATACAGGAGTAGCCCTATCCATACGCAGCACACAATCATAATAAAAAGTAAGTAAATAGTATTTTTTACTACACACCTCAACAGAAGTAGAGAAACCTCCAGAATCTTCGGTAGCTGTCACCACAAGAGAGTACACGTGTGGTTGTCTCAAGTCTTCGAAGTCCAGTTCTTTGGCGAGCTTCACGATTCCTGATGTAGGTCCAATGTTAAAGGTACCAGCGCCCTGACCTTGAGCCTTCAACGTGTAGCGAATCTCGCGGTCAGCAAAAGACTTCGCCTTTACTGAGATGATACTGGAAAGAGGGAGAAAATAGTATTGTTAGTAAGAAAAACATATTTTTTAAAAAGATCAAAGAACACTTATACCTACATACATAATATTTTAGAGAGCTTGTATTAGACAACAAGAGCACGAAGACAAGCCATAATAACCACAGTTTATATAAAAATATTGTGACGACATCTACAATCCACGGGGGAAATGACGAACGTTCATAAAAATATGGGTACTCTAATAGGTCAATAGCCTAGTAATGGTACTCGTACTATTTATTTTTCTGTATTAATGGTAACTCAGTTTATACCAAAGTTATCATAGTTTTATCACAATTGCCTACCCAGAGAAAAGTTGAATAAAATAAATCAACAGTTGTCAAACAAAAGCACCTAAAAAAATAGACACAATATCGCTTGAATACTGAAAGGCTATTCAATTATAAGTTGTACTGTCTCAAATATCATGCCATCTCTGTCAATTCACAAAGAATTTGTAGTGACAGAACTATAGTTAAAAGTGACTTAAAATTGAGTGACGTTTGAGTATTTCAGCGTAAGACTAACAAAACACGACCTTTTAACTTTTAAGTGTCGGTATATGAAATACAATAGCAAATACATTGTGCCTCGCGTAAATCTACGTTCGTATACAACAGGTTAATAACAATGCAACATAATATCATCATCAACAACAGCCTATAAATGCACACTGCTGAGCAAAGCCTCTTCTCACACGGAGAAGGTTAGAACATGAATCACCACGCTTGCTCAATGCGAGTTGGCTATTACAGACTTATAATTATAAATTATGAGCCTAGGTTTCCTCACGATGTTTTCCTTCATCGTTTGTCAGTGGTGTCTAGATAATCTAGAAAGTACATATAACTCGGAAAAAGTCACTTTGGTACTTGCCGTTGGTAGGTTTCGAACCCCCACCCTCATGCATGAGAAGCGGACGTGTTAAACCGCCGGGCCACCACGACAGATGTGGCATAATGTTACATCAAAACTTAACCCCTGATTAACTTTACTGCTGGACATTACAATATTTGATAGCAGGTCACCAAAAACATAATTACAGGTCCAATTATACAAGCTATTAACATAAAATTACTAAATAATTGGGTAATAAAACACCAAGTATGTTTATTTCAATGATATTGTGAGATAGACATCGTTAATGGGTGACCCAGTTATGTGTTTAAACGGACGCATGGTTGTTGGTGAAATTTTAACAATTGGACGTGTCAACACTCTCTGTTTCAATTTAGATCGACTCGGAGAGCAATATTAACTACCTATTTGAATATTTTATAATCGTAAATACTGAATTTGTTGAATGATTGTTTTATGACTATTGTCTTGTTTAAAGAAGTTGGGACTCAACGAGGAAGTGTCTCGTTTTAAGGCCATCGAGGTGTGTAAATGTTATTAGGTTTTTATAGTATCGTTTATAGGACAGTCTAGAATTGTGGTTTGTAACTACTTTCTAATAGGTAGGTACGTATATTACTTTGTTACTACAATGAAGCTAAAGAACTGGAGAAAATTTTGGTGTGTAGCGGACAAAATTAATATATGATCTTAATTGAAAACTTCTAGATCAATCTAGATTTTTGATAGAAATTCAATAGGTAGACTAGAGTCAAAAATCGATGTCAATCCAATTTAAGATTGAGTTCTTTATTAATTTCGGCAGTTAACCGCGTTAAGTAAACAATAACAGGAGCAGTTGCCGTTTCCTATTTAAAAATAGCACCCATGAATGTCTAGCAATAAAATATTTTTACACACACAAACTTGACAAAACTGGCAGTCAGAATAAACTATTTACGTAAGTATCTGTAACAGTTATAGACGTAAACTTTTACAGACTTGTAAAGGGTCATAAAAGTTAGTATGTATCGCATAATAAAAGTGTGTTTAGTACTTAAAACATAGCAACCTGGTGTACTACATGGTTGTAGTAAAATTATCTATAAAGATCTTGTGCCTAGGTCTTATGTTGTGCCTGCTTTTATACCAGGTAAATCAGGCCCTAGTGTTTTTAAATTGAGTCACCTTATCATTTATTAATGTGCTTGATAGCGGTAACTTACTAATTTATATTATAGCATGCTTCATTTTGCATACTATAGTATTCATTGCCTAGCATTTAAGCACTATTTTAGTCGTTAGATTTTCTACTTTTACGCCCCTGAACTGATAAAATCTTCTCGACAGAAAAAAAACAAAATATTTTATTAAAAGTGTTGTAAGCAAATAATTTAGTACTACAACTATTATTCTATAATGTAGCCAATTGTTGTGACAACACAAAAATCTTTTATACTTAGATACAGCTTCCAATAAAATAAAAATAGGTACCAGGAATCATGTAACTAAGTAAGTACCAAAACAATTTGTTTTTTGTATTGAAAGTAACAATATTTACGTAAAAAGAAAACTCCCAACCCACTCGGAGCAAGGTCAAGTATTCCATTACTCCCGCTCCACGCTTTCTCACAAAAATATACAAATACGAGTGATTTGTTATCGTTCTAGTATGACATAGAGGAAATCTACCAACACCAATAAATTTGTTCTTAATATTCTTATTTATTTTCCTCGGCCGTTCGGTCAGAAAAACTGATATTATTTATTGGTAACACCGAACAGAAACACTAATGTTTTCTATTTCCATTTTTGCACTCGAATAAAGTTGGTGAGATATGTTATTGGTTATGGACCATTCTCTGTAACCTATTCAGTAATTTGCCTACTAGAAATAGTATTTTAATACATATATTTTTCAATTATTCCTATCGTATTAAATATTCTTATCGTATTACAGTATTACAACTCACTGTCAAATTTTTAGATGTTTAGATGATGTCGCGTTAAATGAAAACAAGCTTACAACATTTAAATTAATAGTTGTCAAACGAAAAGATTTATTTAACAAATTATGTTACCTACCTCATTAAAAGTTTGGTTAGGCTACTTTTATTTTATCAGGAATTATATAATATCTGTTCCTATTAAATAGTACAATTAAAACACCTAACTTAAAAAGTAGGTATTCAGGGTATTCCAGGGATACATGACACACAAGTGACCTCAGCCTAATAGGGAATACTGACTCAAAGACGGACTGACACTTCAGTTGAATGGATCCAACTACGTCATTTATTTCATAGCACCAAAGAGAACAAACCAAAGCCAGTTACTTAATAGAACTACATTTAAGTAGGTATGTATATGAAAATTTTGAATTTGTTAGATTCAGTTTGTTTCCAACAGTTTATTATTTATATATTATTTAATATTTAGTTGGTTATTGGAGAAGACGTTGTCACTGTTATGATCATGATCTTGATATAAAAATATGCTTACTCAGAATCCTTCTTCTGGTTTTCAGCAATTTCGGCTTCGTAGCTAGGCAGGTAGAACTGGGGAGCTCGTTTGCCACCCACAATACTAAGCCGCTCCTCAGGAGTTGACTGGAATCTTCGCTCATCGACACGGCCATTCTGTAATTTTACGACAGTAATTATTATACCATTAATATCGACGAAAGGTAAGAAGGAAGGAGTTTACGGTTTTGACGGTCAAAATTCTACCATCGAAAAGAGTCGTACTTGTGATATTTATGAAAGAACGTATAGTCTTGTTTTTATTACCTTCACTTAAATCATGTAAAGTTTCCACACTATACAAAGAGTAATGAATTTGCTCCACATAAGCAAATAAATCTCCATTATTGATAGATTATGGCGCCGAGTAAATAATGACGGGCGACCCCGTTTACCTAGACTACACACGTTCAATTACCTACGCAGTCGTGTAACTTTGTTATATGGGTAATCAGAATATATTTTACCCTCAAATATAACCAGCGTATACCTACTATATGAAAGAAAGTAATAAGCAGATGAAGCATTTCTAAGAAAGAACGTTAAGTAAATAGATACATACCTAATAGTTTTTAAACATTTTTGTGCAAAATATTTAAATATCAACTTACATGAGTGGTAAATTAATTATGATAAACTAGTTATTAGTTGTAAAAAAAATTAAATAAGTTTCAGAACAACTGACCATAGATAAAATTCTACGCTCTTCACGTTCTAAGTTCAAAGTGAAGAAATAAACAAAATCTTTAACTGTTACTAAAAAACTGTAACTACCATTTTATGGCTAAGGAATAGCCATTCAGCCAAAGGGTAGACCGCGCCACACCATAAACTACGAGTGTATGACTCATAAAATGTTGTGTCATGTGCATAAAATATTAAATTACCTAATTAGGTCAAACGTGGTTTCTTTCTGCGAAGAAGCAGCAATAATGTCTGACAGCACATTGCAACATTTACTAAGACGTTTTCTTTTCTATTTTAATTCTTGGGAAGGAAGTAACTTAATTAATTTACGAGATAAATATAAAAATGATAGACTTGACACAATAAGAAGGAAGATAAATACTACCTACTATTACTTTGAAAAAACGAAGCTATTTTTATCTGATAGGTAAATAACGAAATATCACAATTTTCAGTTTAATTACTTCACAGCATCGTGCGAATATTAATTGGATTTAATACATTTACTGATGTTTCACCAATATGTTTTAATTAATTATTATTAAACGATGTGAAGTCTATAATTAGCTGTATGAAATATCTGAGCACTGACCTGATCTTCAGCCTTGACGTATAGTACGTATTCCATATCCAGTTGGAAGGGATCGGTTCCTCGTGTCCTCACGACACCAGACCGCTCATCTACCTCGAACCTTCCTCCAGTTCTGTCTCTGACGATGAAGTAATGGATGTTGTGGTCTGTGTCAGGATCGCGAGCTTGTAGAGTGAAGACAGGGGTGTTTGGAGCAGCGTTGAGCTGCACAACAGTCTGCATCGGTAACGGACGGTTGATGAAGTAAGGAGGCTCATCGTTCACATCCTTCACGTGGATTATCACTCGCTGATTGTCCGTATCTGCAAAGCCACAATGTCAATGTCAAAGGAGCTCCTACAAACACGTATTATCAAGTCAAGGGGTGTTCGTTTAAAGAGCTCTTGGCAAAACTATCAAATTATTAAGCGATCTGAAGTGTACTTGAGGGGTATTAAACCGCTGAAATTAATTAGCCAAGCAAATGTGAAATGGGTGTTAGTTCAACCCAAATTTCGGACTGGCTCTAAAATCATCATAAATTTTCACGTATAATTCAGACATTTTGGATAATCCTGTTAAAACACGGGCTATGTGGGTAATATAAAATGCATGAATCAACATGGGCGCTTTCATTTTGAGAAAAGTTTACTAGTATTGTTGAGTTTTGTGAAAAGCGGCTTGATATACGGTGACACTAACAGTGGGGAGGACCGAGTGGTGCAGAACTGCAGCTGTATGTATATGTAAACAACAGTGCACCCTTTTTCTCTCGTGTGGCATTCTGTATATACGACAGAGAATCCGCTTATCACGCAGTAGGAACAGTTTTATGCGGTTCCAGGCAAGTTTTACGTTGTGATTTTATAGCGGGCGGCGTCGACTAGAGCAGCGGATAAATATTTTATAGTATGCACTGTACAGGAGCGCAAAGTACTGCATTCTGTAGTACCCACGTCTGACTAGAGGGTAGTAAATTGCGGGTAAGTTTAGTAAAATGTTCAAGCAAAGTTTACTTCGTTTAAAAGTCACATCTTCATACATAGTTTCATTTAACAAGATTACTGCGTACATTTCGGAACCTCGAGATAATTTACTATGTTCACAGTGAGAATAAATAAAAATAATTTGATGTATGTACTTAGTAAACTATCGTAACGGACGCAATGTACATCATAAAAGAAAAAGTAAATTACATAAGATAAAAGTACAATAAAATTGATATAAATTATACTTACATTTGAGCGCAACTGGTGGGTTAGCGTGAAAAATAAATACACAAATATGATTAGTATTGCAAGTTACCATCACCTTAAATATAAGCTGTTAGAAGAAACATCTGTTATTTAGTAAGTAGAAAATAATTGAGAATCGCCACTTCGTACTTACTATAAAACAATATATTAATTTATAATTAGTAAAGGAAATAATTGAATTAAAAGTAGAAACAATAAGATGATAACGTCAGCGTCCTCTTGATCCCCAATAAAGAATAGACGCATGAATAACTTTACAATGAAATTTCCACTATTCACTAGGTATGGTCAAGTCCCGTATGATAAGGGATGAGGCGATACGATTATACGCTTCTGCATTAACTTTACTTGGTACTCACTCTCAATCTTGTGCCAGAGCTACTAACCAGGCTTGTAAAACACGACTCATAAACATTACAATAATAAAAAGCTTCGGACATCAGAATACAAATCACTCGCATCATAAGATGACGACTAATACACAGTACCGTCTTTACCACCAGGGCACTGCGGCCCGTTCCCAGGGCCCCCATCCTCAGGGGGCCCCGAAAGACCGACAATAGGGTACTTTCCTTAAACTGTCAAACACCAAGCGGTCACCGGTGACCGCAACCTATTGTTCTATAATTGTGTCTACAAAACCGGTACTCGACGAGTTAACCAAAAATTTCGACTGTTCAATACAATAAAATATTAAAAAATAATCACATTTTCATTAACACGTTAACCGCAGCGTAGGTCACCGGTGACCTTTCATTGGCGCCGGCCAATCAGTGCGCCGAACGCGTTGTCGTTTCGAATACTTTAAACGTAAAACAAACTCGTACTAAGGCCTAAGAATTTATGGATACTGTCGTTTTTGACAGTTCGAAAAAAGTATTGAATTTGAATAGTCGGCAAGTACCCAATTTCTACGACGTACACATACCCGCTACACGTTGCACGGCAACCGGTTGCTGCGCAACGTGTAGGAGGTATGCAGAGCAAACGCTTGTGTGATCTACAAATTGTTGTTTCAGGTATCAGTGTCATGTGTACGTGAAGTTGTATTTTTGTATACGCACTCACGATACAGGAGAAAATCCTAGTGTGGTGTAACGTAAAAGAAATATTTCACAAGGGCCCCGATTTCTTGTGTGCCCAACGGCCCTAGCGCAGTCTAAGACGGCCCTGCTAATACAGCTATGGCTATGCTATCCTTTTTGTCCAGTAAGATCCCCCCTAAATCCATTGTATAAATCGGCAGTTTGCTGTAATCTCATTTTGCGGTTACACTTAGGGGTAGTTTCACACTCGAGTGAACATGACAATACATTGACCTTAGCTGTGTCTTGTTAACATTTTATTCTGACGATTGTATTACGTCTTCTCTTGACATTCACACGTGGGTAGATATTTAAGTGGAATCATTCGATTAGTTTCAAACTTGGTTTATTCATTTTTGTTACTGATACACTCATACATAAACACAAGACATTTTAAGACAGGAAGGCATTTTTTTAATTGACTTCAAAACAGAGGTGGTATTAAATATAGTCAAACTGTTTTGAATATAGGTACGTTTTTCCTAATCAATAGATAATATTTTTTTATGGCATAAGCCCGTAAACGAGTTGAAGGATCACCTGATGGTAACCAATCAGCGCCGCCCATGGATGCCTAAAACACCAAATTACACTAAACATTTCAAACTTTCGTCTATATAACTCGTCGTGTAAGAGAGAAATAAATTCAATTTGACTGTTTTTTATTCAGTATTCTAAATGGTTTTATTGGCATATCAACAAGCGCGTTCTCAACACATTTCACTCAACCAATCAGAGCGAGAACCTCATTTTCAATACTCGCACTTACGTCCCAAATCAACTCGTCTTATATCAAAACTCCAAAATTATTTTAAGTTTAGAAATGGAATATAGAACTGTTGCTTTATAATAAAATATACCTACAGGGTGTCCCACCTACGCTTTGACCTTTAAATATTGAGTAGGTGACTGTATTTTCGTATAGGATTAGGATAACGATTTCAATATCTGAAAGTCCGTGCTCCTTTTGTAATTATATAAGAAACTTGTATATTTAATGTATTACATATCTGTAATTCTTATACTTTTTAAGTGTGGGAGCCATGCATCGGCACGAATGGGCCGGCTCGACCGGAGTGATACCACGGCTGACGGCCTTACAGAAAACCGACGTGAAACAACGCTTGCGTTGTGTTTCGTCGTGTGAGTGAGGTTACCAGAGGTCCAATTACCCCCCTCCCCAGTCTCCCGAATCACCGAATCCTCCACAATCCTCAAATTTTAAAACTCCCAAAACGCCCGCAACGAACTTGTAACGCCTTTTTCAATTAAACTATCTTTTTACTTCTACTTTATTTAGAATATGAATCATGATGAAACTAACTCAACATATGCAAAAAATGGCGTCCACTTAAATAGATTGGGTTAATTGTTATTCCAAATATAAACCGACCAATTGACAATGACACGACATTCACGAAACTAACCAACATTATACCAAATAGGTACATTTCGACAAAAATAACGATGAATAGTTCGTACAAACAAAATACCCTTAAAACGTCACCTTTTACACGGGCACACGCAAAACAAGACAGCATCACATAATTTAAGTAACTCTTGACAACAACAGGAGGGAATAACCAACTAGAGGAACGCTTGTGGAGTCCCCCACAAACACTGGAGCCATGCCAAATATATCAAGCATATGTAGTATACAAATGTATTGATATATAGCGCAGTGGTATTTGTTTTGAATGTGTGCCACCTCAAATCTATTCGCTTTTTATTTACTCTCAAAACGTGCGACTTCGAACAGCCTAATACCAACCATGATTCCATTCGTTCGCCGCTACGTTTACGCTCACTGAATAAACAAAGCCTTTGTTAATTAAATAAGAAAAACAATCAATTCAGCATTAACTTGATATCTTGATACCATTTCTTATTGACCAAATTACAAACAGAAGTAATCGAAGACGGCTTCACACTAAGTGCCTGAAATTTGGAATCAAACTCCTTTGACCCAACCCGACCCCTACGCCAGCCTGGCGTCTCGCCAACATCTGATAATAACAATCCATGCCAAGATAAAAACCACTATTCAAAAGACAGTTTTGTCAACTTGGAAGCAATTTGCTTAAACTACGAAAACTTTACAATACAATGCTTGAAAACAATCGGCAGTCAATAAAGCTTTCCACTGCACTTCTGGTTAGTCGCGGCTGAAATAATATCGAACATTCAATTTTCATTTCTTGATTGTTGAGAGAACAGAGGCATAAATGACACTCGTTGGGAACCGTGAAATATAGCGGGTTTTAACACGACGGCGTGCAGGTGTGGGGCAGGAGCAGGCGAGCAGGTGGCAGGTGGGAGGCGGCTCGTGCCCCATCCCCGGCGCCCGCCAGCCACGTACTGCGCAGGCGTACACTACGGCGGCGTGTTTTCCTCGTGACCATGCACAACTCGGCTACAACTCAACTCTCAGTCGACACTACTTTGTAACGGTGAACTTCTTTCATAACTATAGCCCGCAACTGCTACTACTGGAACGTAAATTAGGACTCGGAACGCAGCCCAGCCATTACCCATTACGTTCCCATGGCGACAGACTAGCAAATAATTTTTAAAACATTATACGATACGATCCATAACGATATTACCGACTTTAATGGGAATGGCAGATTCATGACTAATATTTGGATCGATTTAATATACTAAGTACACTTTTATCGAAGCTTTGAATCAGTGTGCACTATACAAACAGAATTTATTCTGTCTGAGTGGAAATGTGCATGCAAAGTGGATATTACTTGTAAAGCGCTCAATATGAGCATTGCGCTAGGCGAACTAGACAATGAATAGGGTTGTATGAGCGCTGAAACTTTAATAAGTTGTACGAGGTGCTACAACCACATAGTAATGGCAGCCTTGATCTACTACCATTAGTTATTCATGGTTTGTAGTGACAGCCCACTAAAAACTTCATATGATGACTAACATTTTTTGACACCACTATTCACCGTTCCGCTCCCAACTTTAAATTGATATGCAAAATGGAAAATGTCGCTTTTTCTATTAAAAAACAGTTTCGTGTTTTTGTGCTAGCAAAATACGTGTCGGCGAAGCTTAAAACTGGATTTGTGTGTAGGGATTCAATATTGTAATGCGTGGTATAATTGAAATGCGATAACACTGATTGTCTCTGGCTCAAAATTGGTGAATTTGTTCATCAAATACGAAACAAACATGACAAAGTTATTGTTTGTAAATGATATTA